CAGTTGCCAAGCATCTGGATTTTGATGAACATGGTCAGCTGCTTTTTTCAGTGTCGTAATTTTGAATAGTCACTAAATGAACTGTTGTAAGTCGAGGATTACCTCTACACTAGTATACTTTATATGACGACTTTCAAGTAATTGAAGAGTACCATCAAATTGCCACTGCAACTTTTTCTTAAGAGTTTCTTAAGGCTAAACATTCCAGTTTCTTTAAGCATAGGACTTGTGATCATCCTTGTTGCCCTTTTCTCCATTTGTTCCAGTTAGCTTAATTCATTCAAACTCTAAGGCCAAAATAATACGTGAGGTACAGTTTAATTTTCAATTGAAAAATATTTTTATAAGCTATTAAAATGGATATAGCCCAAAATGCATTTGAATTTTATAGTTATATCATTGTGACAACTCATGTTTAGATTGTCAAACTCAATTCCACAATTACTATGAGATTAACTATCCCCTGTCCTGTGCAATGAATTTCCTTTTGTTTCCCAAGTGAAGAATTTTGCATTTATACCTGTTAAGTTTGGTTACATTGTTTCCACCTCATATTGCTAACCTACCAAGATTATTTTGAATTTTATTTCTTTTATGGTATTAACTACTTCATCTAATATTGTATCTGCACATTTATTATTTAATGTTAGGACATTAATAGCTGGTAACATTTTTCCATTATACCTATGAAATCATACTTGCTTTCATGTACTTAGAGTTTAGCTTCATCTTATTTATTCCCACACTGTGAGCGTTAAAGAATAAATTACCAAGGCATTCAAATTTTATGAGCCAAATTCTTTCTGATTATTCAGAGTGATTTAATAGAATCTATTATATAAATACTTCCTCTTCCTTTTACAGAACAAAAGTTTTTATTGTAGATCTTAGCTCTATGTTTTTATCCCCACACCCCACATTGCAAAGTCCTCGTTATCTAAGGCTACGGTAAAACACTTTATTAATGTACAAATTATCATCAGCCAGCAGCAGCCAGGTAATTCAGATTTCAGAACATGGTCTTAAAACCAAATCATTCATATTTGCATGGTTAGTATTAGTACCGCTTTATAAGACCCTAGTAAGACCACACCTGGAATACTGCAACTAATTTTGGTTACCATATCACAAAAAAGATGTTGAGAGTTTGGAAAAAATTCAGAGAAGATCAAAGGCCTAGAGACTAAAACATACGAAGAATGGCTGTAGGACTTGGGTCTGGCTAGTCTAAAGAAAAGAAGAAATAGGGGAGAGATGATAGCAGGATTCCAGTACTTGAGGGGCTGTCACAAAGAAGTGGGGGTCACATTATTCTCCAAAGCACCAGAGGGCAGGACAAGAAACAATGGTTGGAAACTGAACAAAGAGAGAAGCAACCTAGAATTAAGGAGAAACTTCCTGACAGTGAGGACAATTAACCAGTGGAACAGCTTGCCTCCAGAATCCTGGGCACTCCATCACTGGAGAATTTTACGAAGACTAGACAGTCACTTGTCTGAGATGATATAGGTTCTCCTGCTTGAGCAGGGGCTGGACTAGAAGACCTCCAAGGTCCCTTCCATCTCTATTCTATTCTATTCTATTCTATTCTATTCTATTCTATTCTATTCTATTCTATTCTATTCTATTCTATTCTTTCCTTTTCCAGTCTTTTCCTGTGATAGGGCTACTGGAGTTCCCAGGTTCTTGAGCTTCCTATTATGCAATATTATTTAGATATGCATAGATTAGTACAAGAGTTAATTAGTAGAATATTTGTTATGTATTGGAAATTTGTTTATCACAGCCAATAGGTCTAGTCAGCATATGTTTCTTTGGCAGCTTGTGGTATTACAATAAATTAACATAATTTTTCTCTTTGTCTTTTTGTTAGGGTATCATTTTAAGTCCTTTGCCCTGGAAAAAAAAGATTATAGTTGCTTAACCATTAATATGTTGATTCCTTAAACCAATAGTATATTTTTCCAGGCTGATAAGGTACTTGAAAAAAGTCAGGATTCTATATTGAATAGCAGAAAGGCTGCACTTGGCAAGGTCTAAAGCAATTTTTTGAATCAATTTTAAACTTAAAGCTAGTATTAATTTACTTATCCAACAGTTGAAGTGGACAGATGTTTCAAATTTGAATGGCTTGGACCAGGGGTAGGCAACCTTGGCTCTTTTATGACTCGTGGACTTCAACTCCCAGAATTCCTGAGCCAGCTATACTATGCTGGCTCAGGAATTCTGGGAGTTGAAGTCCACGAGTCATAAAAGAGCCAAAGTCACCTACCTCTGGCTTGGACAAACACTAAAACTTGTGAATACAAATTTTGTTGCTATAACATTTGAAAAAAAAACAAGAGCTGAGGTGGCGCAGCAGTTAGAGTGCAGTACTGCAGGCCACTTTAGCTGACTGTGTTCAGCAGGTCAGTGGTTCAAATCTCACCGGCTCAAAGTTGACTCAGCCTTCCATCTTTCCGAGGTAGGTAAAATGAGGACCCAGATTGTTGGGGGCAATGTAAATATATATATATATATATATATATATATATATATATACACATTGCTTACTGGTGTACATCGCTTAGAGAGTGCTCTCACTTAAAGCGGTATGTAAGTCTCATAAATAAATAAATAAAGTAATGTACTTGAGCAATTAAAAATTGATATATTTTTTATAAAAAGAAAGTATGACAAAAGTCATTAATCCTAAGCAAAGTGGTTTAGAAAATAGATATAATAATATAGTCTCTTTGTTGTTCATGCTGATCATGTATTATGACTACATTTCTACCGTATCATGGATTCTTCCTGAACCAAAGAACGTTACTTTGGGGACGATAGCACTTAAATCTTTTGAGTTATTAATCATGAAGAATATAATGTTACTTTCAATCAGTCACACATTTATTTATGAATTAAAGTATCAATCTATACCAGACGTGACGTCGCGAGACGTATCAGGACACTTTTGCCATTGCTGGCAATGGAGTAGATGCGACTTCCAGATGATGCATCCGGCCCGTGGGCTGGCAGTTTGACACCCCTGATCTATACTGTACTCTCTTTATATACACTTTCATATAGAAATAAAAACAAATCACCAAGAAAAAGAATTTGAAAAACAGTTTCTCTTCTGGTTTTATATAGTGAGTATGGGGAAAATATATATTTATATTATATATGTTAACAAATACACAATTATAAAAACAGTTTAATGCCTATAGATTATGGAGATTGCTGAAAGGAGCTTTCTTAATGTACAAAAAAAGGGTTGACTCATACATGACTCCTAACCATATAAATGCTTGCAAAATTGTTTCCTGGCCCAGCCCATAAAGTGACCACAGAAAATTTGAAAGCTAAAGGAAGTTCTTTCTAAATAACTGTATTTAAAAAAAACAAAAAACAAGCAAGCTCAGGATGTGATGTCTAAACTAATCTGCCTAAAGAATATCTCTGAACATGTGTATACATGTTCACACATATAAACACATTTTTCACTTGCTTGTACACTTCCTAGATCTTCTAAACTGGCAATATGAAAATCTCATAAACTTTGATGAAGGCTGGAACCAATTGTTGAGTAAATTTAATTTTACATGTACAGCCCTAAGGATAAACTTGAAATATTTTTGAAAACAAGATTTTCAGAATTAAAAACATACATTTTGCATCATAACAACATTCAAAGATTCATGATACATATTTATTTCAGGGTCTCCATTTGAAAAACCTTAGCCAAAGCATATTTACCCAATTAGCTAAATGAGACCTACTCTGCTTTCCTCTGCTTTAAAATTATTCAGAAAAAAAAATCTGTTAAAAGATATTTCCTGCTCCATTTTTTTTAAAGATTTTTGGTATAGCTGTTTTTTGGTATAGTTTGTCTACTCAAAAATAAAAGGTAGAAATGTATATTATTTTTACATTTTAAAAAAAACCACATGATTTTTCTGAAAGGGCTTCCCAATCCAAGGATAGGTACAACAGGCTATCTAGACCAGGGGTGTCAAACTACCGGCCCATGGGCCAGTTACATCATGCGGAGGCCGCACCCACCCCAGCTCCAGCAATGCAAAAAAAAGTTGTGATATGTCACAACACATCACGTGATGTGGTAAGTTTGACACCGGTGATCTAGACCAGTGGTTCTCAACCTTTTTAATGCGACCCCCAACCGGTCGTAAGTCAAGGACTAAACCAGTCGTAAGTCGAGGACTAAACTGGTCATAAGTCAAGGACTACCCAACCGGTCATAAATCGAGGACTTTTCCTGCCTGGGAGCGCCGCGCATGCATGGTGCTGCCCCCTGCGCCGGCCGAGGCGGAGCTGGCAAGCGGCAGAGACGGAGCAGGTCGACCACCGGCTGGGCCACCAGCTGGCCCAGCCAAAGGGAGGTAAGGCACCCGCCGGAAAAGGGGAAAAAGTGGTGGACAGCCTTGCTTGGCGACCCCCGTGAAATGGTCGATCGACCCTAAATGGGGTCGCAACCCATAGGTTGAAAACCGCTGATCTAGACAAATTTATAACTTTGTTACATTTGCCACATGTTCTTTCAACAGCAGCCGTGAGTTCAAGATTTCCAGATTTTACACCAGTTTGAGTTGGAAAATACTAGTCCATTAAAGACTAGAGATGAAAAATCCCCAGGACCAGAAAGTCCAAATACTCACAGTTACTCAGGATTGAATGTGAGTCAGTATTTCCCCATCCAGATCTGCATAGCCTTCAAGTACTGAGTCAGAATTTTGATACCATCACTTGGACAACCTGAGCTTGAAATGTACAACTGGTTATGATCAATTGTACAAGGATGATACCAAACTCCAAACCAATGGATGATCTCATCCAATCACATCAGGTAGCTGTTAAATGGGAGAAGTGAAAATGCGGAGCCCTGCAGTACACTACAAGTGAAGGTGTGTGGGCTTGACTTCTCTCCCTTTCAACACTGATTGAAACTGATTATTGAGAAAGGAGGAAGCCACAATAACATAATGTTTCAACTATTACAGATTCCACAGACATTCCAGAAGGATTGTATGATTTATAGTACTGACCATGGCTGAGAGATCAAGAAGCATCTGGATATACACTGCACTGTTTCCATCCTGGTCCTTCCAAAGGTCATCAACAAGAGCAATCATTGCATTTTCTGTGCTCTATCCTGTTCTGAAAGATGACTGAAACAAGTTTAAATAATCAGTCCCCTCACGGTTCTGAAGTTGTTCCCCAACCATCTTTTCAGTGACCTTCCCTTGAAGACTGAATGAAAAACTTTGGATTTGATGGCCCTCTTGTGTTGGGAGCACTCCACCACCTGTTTTAAGATTGGAGGAACACTTCTTCAAGGAGACTGACACCACTGCATGGAGTCAATCATATGTCACTTCCAGGGCAGCATCAATAACCCAGTAGAGTTATAGATCTAATAAACTGGTGGCTAAGCTCATCATTTGAAGGACTCTGTCTATTTAATTGGGAGTCACAAGATCAAACTCATTCTAGATAAACAATAAGACACTGCCCCAAGCCCCTCAACTGAACTTGCTTAGTCAACCTCCAACTCCAAGCAGATCTGAATGACTTTATCCATCAGATAACTAGAATATGTTTTGCAGCACCCCTCAGTATTCTTGGGGCTTGTCCCTTTCAAGCAAGAATGAGTCATCCTGAATGGTTATTAGCAGACCAAGCAGAGCAGTCAAGATGCTTTGCTGGTCTTACAGGCACAATTTAATCCCAAATATTGGCTCTTTCTCATGTTCAGTCAGCTTTGTTCTTTGTCTTTTTCCATCAATTCAATAAACATGTCTTTTAGACCTTGGCCAAACTGCCCACCAGATCCTCGGGGGAAACCCCAGGTTCCTCCTGGAACCACCAGAGTCCATAAGTTGCCTGGGAGAGACTAAACTGATAGTCCCTTCTTTAGAAGACAAACCTTTAGGAAGCATGACTGCTATTCACAGTGTTTCACAGTCCAGGTTTTTATGATTTATTAGATGGTAAATAACCCTAAGCAAAATGAATTGAGGTAGCAAGCTTAGAAATATTTAAAAATTAAATTCGGCAAAGGTCCTTAAAAAGCAACTTCATAAATCCATAGGAAAGGCAGAACATTGGCTAAAACAACATTAGTACAAATTCACAAAATAAGGAAAATTATCCTTAATCCCAGAATGTAAAAGAATTTTTCATTTTTTAAACGGCTTGATTGTACATTTGGCTGACCTGACTAAACTACAGTATAACCCAAGGAATTTATTATTGCATTGATGTCATTCTTATAAAAACATGAGTACATATTTTTAAAATAGAAAATTTAGCTTTAAAAATAAGAACCTGGAGGTTTTTCTATGACTTTTTTTAGTTTGTGTTGAAAAGAGCTATTTTAAAAATAGTAGAAGGAAAAAAAGGTCACCCTGGATCAAGGAGATTGTTTTAAACGTCAGCTTGCACACTCATGCATGAGTAGAAACATCACATTTCATGGGGAATATATTTAAACCAAGACCATTTACATTGTAAATCAGGTTAAGTTCTTTTATATACTTATTTAACATTCCTTTCTCTAAAAATAGGAAATGATCAATTTTGACTATGTAGGAAAGAAAGGCATGAGTCACCTGAAAACTGATTTAAATGTACTGATTTCAGTTAGTATCTAGATATTACATTTCTTCAGTGAAATGTTAGGACCTAAAAGTATTGGGTAGAGGAATCTTATGGTGTTGCTTAGAAAGCAGAGTTTCTGGAAAATTAGCACCCTACTAGATTTATTCAAGTAAGCAAAAATATCAGAAAAATAGTATTCTGCTTATGTTTTCTGCTAAACTTAACCAAATCTGAAAGTATTTCTCCCTGGAAGCAATGGGAAAAAATAAATTCAATTTATCTAGAACATTTTATGACAATATTAGGTTAACCTTATATGCTTAAATCTGGGATATTTCTCACATTTTCTATTATATCCCTTTGGTGGAATTTGTCAAAGTCAGCTCTTCAAGGAATTGGCTTGGAAGAGGACTGAATATGAGATTTCATTGTCCAAGGTTAGAGTTCAGTTTCTGACTTCAAGGAGGGAAGTCCAGTCAGTCCTAAACCTTCTGGGAAGTTCTCTCAAAGATCATAAGATTACAGTTTCCTTTTCCCTGGATAATTTTTTTTTAGAATTATGTTGCTCTTATTTGAAAACTCAGAAAATGGCACTTTAGGATTCTAGGCAGCTTTCCAATCCTTGATCCTTAATTCACAAATCCAGAAATCATATTAATTACCTTCACATTTTCTCTCCTTTGAATCATAGTTTTGAGAATCATACTAAGTCATTTAGACACTTAGGTAAGCTGTAGGGATGTAGAAATTTGATAAATTAAAACCAAAATATTCTTAGTACTGCTTAGAATTTTTTTTTTAATTCTATAAGTTTGAAAATTGAAAAAGTTTATTGTATAAATAGCTATTTTACTTATCAGATTTGTAAGTTAGAAAAATTCAGGTCAGAGAAGTAGCTTGTATATTTGGGCAAAATCTACTGCAAAATCACAGCAAAGCAGGAAGAGAGTTTATTATTTTGTAATGCTGCCTAATGACTGCTCCTACGTAATGTCTGGGTTTATGCAATAAAACACCTCAAATGTGATTGGATAGCTCTGCTATTAGTTTATGGTTCACCATGTTATAAGAACTTAGACAACTGAATTAATTAAGTACAATGTGGTTCATTTAATTGTGAGTTAGCATAACCACTAGGTAAGTAGTAAGTTGAAGAAGGATGGAAAGGCTGATGCTAAAAACTCATAGAACGGAAATCAAATATAAAAATTTAGAGATCCTGTCCAACTATAGTGAACAAAAGGGAACCCAAACTTTAGAAAAAGAATCTTAATTCAGGAAGATGGAAGAGAGGAGAGAAAAGGAGCCATGTAAGAAAAGCAGAATTGTGGATTTAAAAATATTTATTGGTCCTAGAAAATCTACAGTGACCAAATATTTGGAGTCTCAAAAAAAAGAAGGCATGTGAAATTACATCATACCTCCATAATGTATATTTGATGCAACTTTAACAACATAATCCAACAAATTTGCTAAGAAGCAAATCCTATTGTATTTAGCAGCTTACTTCCATAGAAAGCACAAGATGCATTCTGAAAAATGCACTGGATTGCGCTATACAAAGCTTGAAAAACGTAGATGTTGGAAGTACAGTTAAGTGCTGTTGATGAAATCAAGTTTGGGGTTGAATTTCCATGAAAAGAAACCAGTTCTGTTCATATCTCTGGTAAAAGAATATTACCAGTAAAGGTTCACTGCCACAAGCTTGAAGATTTTCAAGAAGTTATTTTGAGGAAGTGAAAAATCTTTTTTTTTTAATGAAAGGTTTTGCTGTTTTCTCTCTTCTACAAATTCTACAAACACATATTCAAAGCATGCAGACTCTGACTTAATGAAATGAAGAACCTATAAAAATTAGGCTGAGAGAGGCTTTTAATTCATGTAGATTGTCTACCTTCAGTATTTAAGACTGACCGTTGCTGTATGTCCAGCACAAGCAACAGCTCCCCCTGCAGGTTTTCAACAGCATCTTCTTAAAACAAAAACAGAAGCAAAAACTGCCACTGCTCTACACAATTGGAAACGGAGGTGGAAAATATATCTCCAAAATAATTTTAAAAAAAATCAATCATTTACAGTGAACTTATCTATTCAATCAATTAGTGTTATGGTTGTTACTTTGGAATATTGATTTCTACCTTTAATCATTGTTTTATGGATATTTTAGTTGATTAGAACCATAAAGAGTGAGCAGCATATAAATTATTTAAATGAAAGCAAGGAAGCAACTGCCCTTTTATATTATTCTTGTTACTAACACTAAGACAAAATAAACTAAGACCTGCCACAATTGATTAGTCCAGCTTCCTTAGATATCATTAATTTCATATCCTGAGTTGGAAGTCAACTCAAGAAGGGTTCATATAAGTGACTATCAAATTCAGCATATACCAAGTTGTTGCTGTTCCCATTGCTGCTCTGCATACTTTTGAACCCCCTTAGCCAGATAATCACAAGGACTAGATATGGATACATGTTCAGGAGTGGAACTACCATCAGTCACCTTCTCTACTTAGATGACATCAAGTTGTATGCTAAGAATGTACAAAATATCGACTTGCTGATCCACCTGACATGGATCTACAGTGAGGACATTGGATTGTCATTTGGACTGGAGAAGTGTGGCTGGATGATAGTCATGAGAGGGAAAGTAGTTAAGACTAATGGGATGAAACTACCAGCAGACCACATAGCAGTATGCATACCAGATACAAGTACATTGGTATCCCATAATCACATGGGAATCAAGGAATGGTTGAGGCAAGGATTGAGGAGGCAAGAAACACAGTTCCATTCACATACCACCCAAGGATAAATCAAGTCTTAAAGACCTAGCTCAATGGGAAGAACAAAATCCATACCATCAATTTGTATGAACTGCCAGTAATCAGATGCCCTGCCAGTGTAACCCAAAGCAGGCCATGTAATCTGCTGTGAAGATCCAGGAGTTCCTGAAAAATAAGGAGGTTTTCACCCTAAATCCAACACCCAGAGACTACATCAGCCAACAATAGGACAGGCTAGGTCTGGTGAATGTCAAAGCAACTATCACAGACAAAATCCAGAGCATTCAGTAGTACATCAGTAAAATGGTACCCAAAAAGGAGGTGTAGAGATAATGCAGGCAGCAGCAGTTATGGGAGGAAGATCATAGGAAGATAAGACCTTGCACGTGATGTATTACTGACACATAGCTGAGGTGGCAGATATTGGTAAATCTTGCGAGTGGCTGGAAATGGCTGGACTATAAGACAAGACTAATCATGCCAGCAGAAGAACAGAAACTAAGTACCAGATCCATAGGAGCAGGGGTCTATCATACTAAACAAGACCTGAGTGCAGATTATGCCAAGAAGCCTCAGAGTCAGTCCAACATATAGTGTTAGGGTGCAAAATACAGGCAGGAACAGCATGCATTGAATGGCATAACCAGATAGCTGGCATTTTGTATGTGGACAGCAAATGGATTATACCCTCTCATGTCCAAGTGGGAGGTTTCACAGAATGTGCTGGAATAAAAGGGCTTGATTGAAATAGATGCTAGCTATATATATTTAACAATCAAAACAAAATCCAGGAGACTATAGAGTTGTGAATGTTTCTGCACAGATGCTTTTGTGGGGGGGCAACCAGAGTAAAAGCAGTGTAATGGCATCAGTTATGGCATCACAAAGCAATGTTTGGTAAATACAAAGATTGCAATGATAAATTTGTTTTTAAAGAGCTACAAAATTCTTTATTATAGTGTGTCCCTATCCTAAATGCCACCATTTCATGGATACTACTCATTTTTATTTAAGGATGGCAATAAAACCAATAAAAGCCCAATTTCTCCTTACTGTCTTTTATTAATTATATTTTCTCCTGATGCATCACTTTGTTTGCACTTTTGTTTAAAACTGATGTGTGTCCTTTATGTAATGTGTTTAATTACCACAAGGTGTCACTAATGTTGCATTTCTTTTGGCAGTATGGTCAATATAGTTTTATCTCCAGCTGCTAATCAAAGTGCTTGTTATGTTATATTTTTAAATAATAATTCAGAAGTATTTTAAGCATTTTAACCACATTTTTCACCTGATCATTGTTTCAGAAATAAAAAGCCACAGTATTACAATGACCTACAGCAAACTTATTTGATAAAATATAAAGTTTATAAAAAATACTTTGAAAACATAAAATGTACCTGTACTGTCATTTCTGCTCATCAATATATTT